TAAATATGTTTGCTTAGATAAAGTATTTAGTAAAAGTATGGAGACATACGGAAAAAATAAAAAACTTATGAAATTAAATTTACCTACAACTTTAACTAGTAAAAAAATGAATGGTTTATTTTGACTGACTTTTTTGTCAGTTAATGGAGTAGAAGCAGGAGAAAAGTTTAAGAATTGCATAGACTCTTACAATAATGTCTATTACAATTTCTTACTTAACTTTGACTTCGCTAACAATATTGACATAAATAGTGGTAAAGTATTAGGTGTTTGTTGTGATAATATAAAATGTTCTCCAGTAGTATTTGGAGTAGCTTGTCCTGCTGGCAATAAAGGATTTGCCTGTAATAAACTTAATCAAGAAATATTTTGTTTTAATATAGGTTGTGGAGGTATCATTGGCAATAATTTAATTACCGGTAGCACTACTTTGGGTAATAAATGCCCCAAAGACCTTGTGACTATTTCTAATTATCTTGATACTATTACTCCACAAGGTCTAGCTAAAGGTTATGCCCACTGAGAATGTCCAAATTTTTCTCCCTGTGATGGACTAACTTGTAATTGAGATAATGGCGGTTGAACATGTCAACTTTTTAGTTTTTCTCAATTAGTCGTTAATAATTGTTACTTGCAATGAGTAGCCCCTTTCCCAAAAAGTCCGGTTTTAACTATTACTTCAATTTCAACTTCACTAGTTGAAATACCAACTACTACTACTCAACAAGTAACTTCTGCTACTGCTATCAATAATTCTCCTAATTCCATCACCCCTACTCCAACTCCTCTTTCCGATGATAACTCTCATCTTACCGAAAAAATTGCTATTCCTATTGGTGCTACCATCGGAGCTATTACAGTTGGTGGAATAACTTACTATTTAATCCAGAAAAGAAAAAATAAACCTCTCCTTGTCTCTGGTAACACGGAACAAGAAGTAACAAATAACCAAAATGAAAAAGATTTTAGTGAAGTAATCGCTTCAACTTCTCAAAATAAAGAATTACCTATTTTACCAGTGCAAGGTTTAAATTCTCAAACAAAAAACGATGAACTAACCCAATTAATTCAGCAAACTAAAGAAAAAATAGGTGTTAATTTAATACTTGCTTTAGAAACTTTACTTGATACCCAAATTGAAATTACTCAGGGTAATAATAATTTTGCTATTCGTCAACTCCAAAGAGAAGCTAAAGAAAAATTACAAAGCAAACTTAGTTTAGAGGAAATCAACAATCTTTGTCAATTACAAAGTGAAGTAATTCAGTCTCAACCAGAACAAAGAATGGAAGCCCAAATTCAAACTCCTCCCAAATAAAAAATAATATGACAAATTTACAAAAAAAAAAAAAATAAAGAAGACTTGCCAATAATAACACATGTTAAGTAAATGATATGGTGGTCAAGAAATGATGTGGAGGGCC